AGGCGTCGACGGTTAAAATTCCTCACAATTACGCTTCACGAGAGATAGACTCTCATTTTGCATAAACAAGGTAAATTGTTTATATACAAACAGAAAGTTTGCCTGGTTATTTGTCGTATCGAAATTTTAAATTACATGAAAAGAAGCCGAACAAAGCGAGAGTAATTACTTCAATTGCGTAAAAATCTTACTGCGAATCCGCATAAACTTTCGTTCTATTAATTCCCAAACGCGGAATGGAAATGAACCTCAGGGGTACGCAAAACAAAAATAATTTGGGCACCAATTAACATACAAAAAGTACCAACGAAACAGCAAAATGAAAGTACTGGCCATTGTTTTCCTGAAAGCTAGCGTTTTACGTTTTATCATTCAATCAGGAATAAGCGCTAAAAAATTCTAAAAATATCTTTAATTTGATCAAGCTGTGGTACCTGCGTCATATTTTGACTCACTTGTAGACAAAATAATTATTATTAACATTTGTTATTATACCCCGCAATATTTTTTTCGTGGCGACATATTCAATGGACCTGGATAATCTTGCAAATAGGCGTCGACGGTTAAAATTCCTCACAATTACGCTTGGCTTCTTAATTATGAAGATTTAATCGAGGCAAGGCTAAGCGCATTCAGAAATACAGAAAACTAGGCTTAGAGCAAATTAACATTCATTACGCTTAATATAAAATTCTTTATATGCAAATGAGTGAATGAAACGGTGATGACCTGCACCCAGTGCACATATTTGTCTATTTATACAAATTTGAAAGTTTATTGTGCATACGTCAAGCCACAAAAATTTTATTGACGTATATTGTGAGTTATCTGTAAATCAGTGACAGTAGCAATTTTCAACGGGTATTTCATTGAATATTTATGAATTGGATGTCTGATCATTTTGACTGAGAGGTCATTTCAGTTTCGTGCACTTTCAGCATGCTAAGCTTATTTCGAGTTTTTTTTATACCTTTAGCTGACTAATAATAACGGTATGACGAAATTAAAATACCCGATTTCTTGATTAACTTTCAGTTAGATAATGGAACGTTCCTTGGGTATAACCAGAGCTAGGCATTTTTAATCGGTTCAGACAGGAATTTCGAATCGCCGCAAACTTGTTTTTTTGTCTGTAATTTTTCATTCATATCAAATTTTTGAAAATGCAATTCCTATTTATGTGTCTGAAGGAGCCTTTACAATAAAACAGTCAATACAACTACATAACTTCCAAGTAATCGAGATTTAATTTCAAAAAAATATTTGATTTGAATCTGGAATAATCAGATATTTGAAAATGCCCAGACATATAGGTATAACTATAGTACTACACGGACTGGTGTCTTCCCGATTCGGCATTTCGTACCGAATTTATCACACCCTGCAGGGTGAGGTGGTGCAATTTAAAGCCGTGAATTTGTAACCACTTGGCGAACAGGTCAATGCGTCAACTATTACATTACTCGTACAGAATTTCCAAAAGATGTGACAGTCATTTAAAATTCCAGCTGTATGTGTACATGATGAAGATACTATTGTCACGCAATGCCTTCAAAACAAATACAACAAAATGAGCGATCACAAACAAGTGGTCGGAAATTACTGTGTTTAACTCACAAGTCGCGAGAGGCATTTAAGTAAAATTTAAAAATAATGATTTATAAGTTTCCGATGTACATATAAATTTCTCATGTAATTAAATAATATTTTGTACTTTTCAAATTTTAGAAAAACGAGAGATATGTCGTTACTTAATCGAGTTAGTAGATCGGTATTAAACTAGTCTCGCACGCAATGAAGTATAATTTAGAAATTGTTGGCTTTAAATTTAGGAGATGTAAGTTTTCAGTGATATCAATATTAAACTAACTAATATAAATTATAATCAAACCCGGCTCATCAAAATTTTTCAAGTTAAACGTTGAAATATGACCAGTGAAATACCAGCCCACGATATTTCACTTAAATCTATAAACATTCAAACGCGTAAGATAATAAATACAAATTCGGATCACACTCGGAACAAGACCGGTCGCGAAGCAGTTATGATGTATAAAATCAAACAAGTGTTATGGTTATTTGACGGTTTTGGTAAACAGGCTCAATATTTTTTTATTTTACGGGTTCATTATTCTGCCATCAAAATATCTCAATAATATTACATTTTAACAAATTGGAAAACAACACAATAAAATTGACTAAAAATAAAATTGTCGTTGGAATTCTCAAGAATCGCGGAAAACATGTAACCTTCGCGGCAGCTTATCATTGTTATAGAGGTTAAGTGGTGGCTTAAATTATTCGCGTGTCGCCACGTTAATTGCTTTAATTTATAGCTTTTATAAAGGTCTTTGAATGCTTCTGGCACACGTTCAACATTTATAGTTTAGCATAAGAGGAGTACTTGAAGTGCCTTACAATAAAAGACGCTTCGCGGTGATAATCACTCATGAGAATTTTCAGGAAAATGTTTTCGGCGAGTGATATCTTTTGCTCAAGAGAAAATAAAAGGCGCGCTCGTGGCAGTACAAAGACTTCTAGATGAATTAAAAATAATGTGTTCAATATATTCAAGTGAAAGTTGTTATTTCTTAAATTGAGCGTTATAATATGTCAGAGCTTATCACGAAGCTGAAGACGTTTTTTCCGTGATATGTAATCATACATACGCTGTTAAACATTAAAGAGAATTCGCTTCAAAGTGAAAATTCACATTGTCTTAGAAAATTCCACTTTACTCATTGTTGTGGGTTGGGTAGGTAGAGGTGGAACCCTTAAATCACGCCTGTTTCGAGCGACTGTCAGTCTTACGTCAAAGTTATCAGAATACGAACAAAATATTTCAAGTTAATTATGACTTTTATCCCTTTTTAAGTCTTTTATACTTTCTTGTTTTGTTGAGAATAGCATAAAAACATTATTTAAGCATGACATCTTCGCTATCAGGCAAACCTATCATCAAAAACCACAAAACATGGAATCGTCTCTATAACAGAAGATTGACTCACAAACAATTGTTAAAGAACAAAGCACTATGCTATTATTGGTCACCACAGTCGGGGATTGATTGTGACTCAATAATTGGCTATCCTTAAAATATAATTTGGACGGAGATGTATCATGAAGTTCATATTGAAGTTTGACCTTAGTACACTTTTTTTCGCACAGCAATCTTCGTTTTTGAACACGGAGTGTACATATGAATCGTTTTGATCGCTCCAGAAGTATGTGTACCAATAATAATTAATTAATTTTGTTCGCCTATCTTACATCAAGTTGTGTAAAGGGACTGAAACCTATGGACATGGGGTCTATTCACTTGGCTAACACAGACAGTCCCCGAACTCGTAATAGAACTAAAATAAGGAAAATCGAAATAAAATTAGGGCCTAACCCTAACCTGGTACGCATACTTCGGGAGTATCTCGTTTTGTTATTAATTATCATGTTGTTGTTCGTGTTTTTTCAATTCAATCGACTTTCAATTATTCCTCTTCTGTAGTTTATGTACCCAATTTCTCGACGTTTCTTTGTATGAATGGTTTGTAAAAATATTTACGTGATGTATAATTACACCATGTCATCGTCACAGCACGTCTGAATACAAACATACACAAACACGAATGTGCTTGACCCCGTATCTGGCTCAATTCATTAAATTTATTTCTGGTTGACAACAAGCAATCGGCATTTTACAAACCAATTATTTGATCAAAGATAAACAAAAAAATACTCTGAAGTCAGCACGTTTCTCATGTCAGCGCTCACAAAGGTACAAATCGAGCGTTTGTAAATGATTGCTATTGCGTTAAATATAAGTTTGTTAATCACTAAGTTAGCAGAGGAAAAATTCTTGAATAAAGTACAAGTGGCAATTATTCTCAAAAATTACTTTATTTTTGTAAAAAGAAGAAATCACTATAATTACGATAAAAACCACGAGTAAAAATGACAAGTTTGATTTCACATTAGATTGACAATGGTGTGAACTTTGTGACGTTACAATACATAACAATTGCCAATGAGTCACATCCCGGAAGTCAGAGCAGACTGGGATAAAATTGGAAAATTTTGTTGAGGAATTGTCGAATTCCATACTTTATTCCCACGGATTGCTGCTATTCACTGAAAGAACATTCCCATCATTAGAATGCATCTGTACACACCTGTGACGTCATAAATTACCATAGAATTGTATTGCTAATTGTTGCGAATCGCTTTTTTCCCGTCTATTGTTCAATCAATTTCAGAATTATTACTATTCAGAATTTAAAGTAGCCGCTTGAAGGCTATCGCTCCGCGGTTTCCCAATATTTCACCCTACATTTTGCGGGTTTAAATATGTCACGGTAACACTTGCATATGACATTCGATATATTTATTTGACATATAGTAGTTGAATATTACTCGACTCGATTTATTTTGTTCAGAGTCATTATTTAGTTGTTTATTTTAAATGAATATAACTTAAATTGAAATGAAAATATGTAGAAGAAAATCATATATCTAACTAATTATAACACGAGTCCTAACAGATACTTGGAAAAAAACAGAAAAAATAACGTGGCTTGGTAATATAAAAATCCATTCACCATCTTCGTTTCCCATCTAATAGCCAGACCTAAATGCAAAAAAAGGTTAGATTGCGACAGCACAACTCTTCTTTTAAAAATAAACAATAATCGAATATTAAGATAGCTACTCTGCAGTGTTGTCACTGTACCGAGCTGTGGAGTGGGTGTGATTGCCTTGTGGTTAAAAGGAAAATGGTAGACTTAACTATATTGGTATCACAGCTGGAAATCTTGGGTTCAAATCCCAAGCCCCCATCTTAGCCAGAGTACGGTAAATTGAGTTGTCAATGCCAAACTGGAAAGATACCTGTCCTTCCCAACTGTGGTATACATCCTAACTATTATTGGCTGTTTGCGCAGACTCGAAGTTGTTAGTCTTGCTGCAAAATTATCGGTGGATGCTAAAGTCCTGGTCGACCTCGAAAATCGACAACATTTGAGCCCATACGAACTATAAAAATCGTTACAAAAACAGCTAGAGGCTGAATTGTCTGGGAAATAGGAAAAAGTACACGTTATTTTTTTCTTCGCAATTTTCATCTTACAGTTAGCAAAATGAATAAGTTCGTCAGAGTTGAATCCAGATAAAGCCAAAAGCTAGATTTGCAAAGAGAATTGAGGTGAATATGGACTGACAGTCGGAGAAGGTATTTCATTTTCATATACGCTTCCGGCCGGAAGGTTTTCGACTCTATTGACACCGATATGTCCCTGGATGAGTCTATCCAGAACTGTTTGCTCCTTTTCCTGCATCTGACTTGTACAGCTGTTCTGAACTTGCAGGGATTCTTCAATATCACCATTTCGTTGAGTCAACGTTTCATTCGCGTTATTTTGCTGATTCATATCATCAGTGTCATCGTATTGTTGATTCGCAGTCTCGGTATTTATTACGTAACAGCTCTCATCTACTTGAAATCTGTCGTCTTCGTCTCGGTCTTTGAATGAAAGTTCGGCATACTGCAGTGCTGACTGTTCGATATTCCTGTGCTGTTCAATAAAATAAAGTATATCCTTGAGAACAATATGACGATTTCTTGTACCAGTGTCTCCCAACCTATGGGTCGCGACCTGAAAATGGTCTGCTTGGGCCGCCCGTTTTGCGACAAAAACATTATCTATTTAATTCCATTTCATATTGGGTATTGTAGTGTTGCTAAATCGCAATGTTATGGAAAAGCAATTTCAACAAAACTCAAGTTTTACGGAAGAAATTGCCAAATCGCAATTACCAGTATATGTAGGTTTGTGTAAGTACGTCATATTGATACTTACTTCTGGTTTTGTTGACATTTGTGGATAGTATGGCGAACTTCGATTACCGGCAGTGTTCGGAGATGATGTAAATGACGTCATATGTCTTGCTTGCGCTGGCGAGGACGTCGGATCACGTGACCTGAATGATTCCTGGGAGATTCTGTCTTCAGTTGAAACTCGAGATGAATAGTGAGTCCGCTGTAGAGATAGAGTTGAAGCATTCTCTTGTACTGAATACAGGAATTAAAGTAAAATCGACAAATTGGACAAGAAGAGTCTCAATGGCTAAAATCAGTACCAGACTTGCCAATATAAGTTAAGAATTTAGTAATGCCAATGGTCTGGTGGGGTTAATATCAACTATATATAACTTGAGATATGTAATTGCTGAAATCAGGACATGTCTACCGCTCACCATACGTTGGACACATAAGCAAAGTCACATAACAAGGCTGGTGAAGCCTATGTCATTAACTCGAATTCAGTCACCAATTATTCAAGACTCGTGTCATCTAAATAAAATGGAATTGTACTCATTTAACTGCCAGTGAACCTAAAATCACTGACTAACGCAACTTTGTACCCCGCTCGAAATATGGATACTCAGGGACTTGACTCGGAGCCAAACACTGCGCAATGTATCAACAATAAGGAAAAAGATTACTCACAAAAAGTGGGGGAATAATAGAGGCAGTTGCCTCGGGCAAGTTGTTGCAGAAGCAGCAGTTTCAAGCTGTGGGATGATTCAATTACTGATACAAATGACTCTTACTTGACTTTTAGATTTATTTGTTCCCGAGTACAACACATCTATAGTTTGTTAAGCCACCGGATTATTTTTGAAGTTAGGTATAAGGGACGGGCATTATCAGAAACTTTCTCAGGGCAGCAGGAAAAGGAAGAAAAGATTCAACAAAACGAAGGTTGACTTACCTTTGTTTCTCGATTGCGTTGTCCTGGATAAATTTAAACTGCTATGCGTTGAACTATGTGGAGCTTGTAGAAGGTCTGTGATTCCAAAAAAATGTGTTTTTCACAATATATGGCGGATTGAAACAGCCAAAAGTGATGGATGCCTTTGCCCTAATGTTCAATCAAAATCGTCATTTCAATTAGAATGCTGGAATAGGTTGCCCAATTCTTACGATTTTTAAAAATGCAAAGAGAATTCATCGATACCATTTATTTTTTGGTCCTCACAGATGTATTAAATGAAGTGAAGATACGTAAACAACTACTGATTAAAAACAACAAACCTGGTTAAGATATATTGAGAACTGACCACATAACAAAATTGGAATTGTAAAGGAACTTTATGGACATCCTGTATTTATCTTGCATAGAAAGCGTATACAATTTTTGAAATTTTCAAGTGTCAGTATTCAAAAGTTTTTCCGCCATCACGGCCTCTAAACCGATTAGGTCTTCATAGGATATACAAGAGAGCTGTGCTCAAATATATGGACACGTCACAAGGTGTCGTTATTATTTATTCTGACACATTAAAAACGAATCTCTTGAAGTCCACAGAAATTTTTGAAATAAGTAAAAGTAATAGCCTTTTGGCAAAAAAATCAATCTTTAACCACTGAAAATTTCAAAGCAATTAGTCCAGTATTCAAAGAGAAAAGCGATTTCATCATGACGAAAGTGAAGAATACTACTAACATGAACAACATAATGAAACGATCGTTATGTACTCTGACGTGTTCAAAAATCATTTTTGAGGTTGATACCAAACAAAGATCAAATTTCACAAACATCTGTCACTCGATGAGCTTTGAGCAATTTATCTTGATTCGTGTACTTACCGATTGTTGAAATCGGAGGCGACATTGGATAATCACTTATAATAGCATACGTTTCTTCCTCATCTAGTTCTTGTGGTATAATGTGCGAGTTAATTGTCTCTTGGAGGGGTGTGGCGGGGGTTGGCCTGAAGGTATCTGAGATGTGACCGTACTCTGGATTCATGAAATCAAAACTAACTTGCGTTCCAAAGCCTGGTGAGAAGAATAGAAATCGGAAAATGTTAAATTTGGCAAATTCCGATTTTGTCATACATTCCCGATATACGGATATATGAAGACTGGCAATACCTATACTGATAGCCTAAATCGGCAGATCCCTTGTAAAGAGTTGGAATGGATCCATAATGATCCCCAAAGGGATCTCCATCGCATACCAAAGTAGAGCTAATTGTGGTACCTTTCTGCTGTGTGTTCATTATATTGAGGACATTGTCATAGAATTCAGTTCATATCCCTCACTAAAATCGCTGATATCACAAAACCGCTGAGTACGCACTCCGCATACTAAAGTAGCAACGATAATCTTTATGTAAAGTTTCTCAAGACAAAGTCGCACTTTCACAACCAAATAACAAACATATTATCGACAAAAAATGACTAATAAAACTCTAAGAGATGTGGAAGCAACGAGGCGGAAGTGCTACATAAACTAGGAATTTATATTTCCAGTTAGTATTGCCTGGGAAACAGATCAATAAAAGAGCAAACCGAGATTTCGACATAGAAACTCGTTAACAAGTAATATTGAACAATATTGAACTGATATATATTTATATGTATAGATATGAATATGCAAAAGAAACACTTTAAAAATAATTTGAATGTTGCTGTTTATTATAAGGGTAATTTTCTCAAACGAAGTAACGAACATTTGATTTTCTGATATAAAACACATATACACTTGCCATCGCTTTGTGGGCGAACTTTTTCCTTTTTCTTTTTGCAGCATAACACAATGACAACGACTAACGCAATCAATAAAATCACACAAGCCGTCCCAACTGTAAAATAAAAGAATTTTCAAACTCAGTGTCGTAAACGACCCACGATTAACTTTATGCTATGAATACGTACTATCAAGCAGAATAGCTCGAACTTTTTGTGGCGAGATTTGAAAAGCAAACGTGATTTTGGATCTTCGCAATACGTACCAATTGCAACAAGCATATTCATATTGACAGGTGAACTTTCCGGTTTTGTTTCAATGGTTGTTGGTTCCAGACTCCAATCACCACTTGCTGTAGTATGATTGACATTTGTCAACGATCGCGTGACTCCTTTCGGCAGTATTGCTCTTCCTGGACAATAATATAACATAAGATAGCAATGCTCATATGTATATGAGAACGGAGGAGGAATCAATAATACAGTCCCAATGGTCGCACAATTTCAGACAAAATTTGGCCGAATTGTCAAATTCGTTGCACTTTGAGTATCATTAGCTATTATGGCCAAGGCTTGTCTAATCTCTAAATCACTTAGGTTTATCCGATTTCAATAAGATTTGAAACGATTCAAATTTTAGATAATAAGTGCTATTTAACCCCCGTTTTTAAGCATGATAAATATCCTCCTGCCATACAAGATCGGTATAATCAATCTTTGGTTCTCCCGTAGTATCTGAACCAAGAGAGTGGACAGGAACGTAGTATGTGTACCAAGTTAGAGGTAGGCCATAATTTTATTCCAATTTTCCTTATTTCAGTTATATTACAAGTTCGTGGACTAGCCAAATGACTCTCGTAGTATTTTTTCCTGAAATTGTTGCCTAACCCTATCCTGGTACTCATACTACGTTCAGGTGTCCGCCATCTTGGTTCACATACTACGGGAGTACCCAATCTTTATAGATAAACTTGCATGGCGGGCCGGGTTGTGGTCGCCGCACTATTACGTAGGTCGTAGACCATTCAGTTATATCTTGTCAATGAACGGAAGCGCAGGAGGTTGTTGCGTAACAAAGGCATGAAGGTCAATATAACAATAAAAAGCTTTAGCACTCGTAAAAGATTTTTTAAATTAAGATTCTCATTCTTCGTGAGAAATATACGGAAAATAAGAGTTGAAAGCACTCGTTGACGCTAATTTCAGTACTTGAGAAAACATGGTGCTAACTATCGATATTCAATATATCGCCTTCTTTAATATACCGTCTATTTCAATATGTTCGGTTGTTTTTTTTCCAACTTCACACACAACATAAGCTTTCCAAGTTGGTAGCCTCGATCTCCATTTCCAATCTACGCTTTGGTCAAGCACAACGTGGGTTCTTCCGTTTGCGAATACTTTCTGTGTTGAATACCAGTTCTCTTCATACGCCGTCACCTAGAAAACATAAATAAGATTACTCTCTGGGCATAGTGAAGCGTGCACAAGTGGTGGGGCAATAACACATAGTATTCTATAAGCCATCTGCGCGATGGCGCAGCCGTTGCCTAAGTTTTTGTTCGCGCGACACAAATTATTAAGAAAATACCTGACGGCGCACTTACACAAAAAAATTTCTGCATTCATATAAAACTCAATTTTGTTGTCGTTAACGTGCACTTCGTGCTTGTAATAGTTTGCAAACATGTGGGGCTAGAAAATAGCGGAAAATGTCAACTCTTTTCCCTTACACTTGCCTTATAGTACACGCAGTGGACATAACGATCGTTTCAATATTATGTACTTGTTGTTCTTGTTCTTTGACATGTTTTTAAAAAGTCGCTTTTCTCATTGATTACTGGACCAATTGCTTTGAAATTTTCAGTAGTTGAAGATTGATTTTTTTTGCCAGAAGGCTATTAGTTTTACTTCATTCAAAAATTTCTGTGGACTCCAAGAGATACATTTTTTATGTGTCAGAATAAAAAATAGCGATATCTTGTGGCGTGTCCATATATTTAAGCATAGTTCTCTTGTTTTCCTTTGAAATACTAACACAATACTTTGGCAATCGCTGGTGGTATGCTAAATCGAGTAGGGCCTTACGGATCATGCAAGTTTGAGAACCACACGCATCGAACAATTTACAACAAACCTTCTCTCCGTGTGAGTGTTGCCACATTTTATTTTCTTCACTCCATTTAATGTCCAACCAGACACGAACGTTGTCTAACTCAGACCGTTTCATGTTAAAGTAATTTCCTGTCGATACGGCTAATTCTAAGCTCTCTAGCGACGCCAAGTGTCCATGGTGTGTCATCTCACAAAAGTTTGTGGCAGATGTAAACGTCATGACGTCATCAGAAACTGCATAACACTTGTTGTTTTGTCGGAACGTGCTGTTGACGCAGTCACCCAAATCAACATCAACTGAATAAAAATGGAGGACTGGTCAGTTTGACGGAATGACAAGTGGTGGCGCAATATGAGAAAACTCGTCAAAATAGGTGAAATATCGGGTACCCTATGAGTCGGGAAAATTTTAAAAAGTGATTTTAAAAAAAGAAAGTAATACCCCCCTTAAAACATTTACTGAGAGTTTTACATTGATTGGTCCATAAGTAGCGAGGAAATGCTCTTTTCATCAACAACAAAAACGGCAATTTCGCAGAACGATCCATACACCTTTGTTCAAGGGCGAAAAGAAATCAAAGAAATATCTGAATATTTGGAACCGAATGTTCTAACGAGCGCTTTGAAGAGGCCTACTTTTACCACAGTGATTAGCATGTTGAATACAAATACATTTGTATCCCTTGTTGAAGATTTTTTCCGAATTCAGAATAAAGAACATATAGCCTATGACCTATGTGGATATACCGTGTTTCCCCGGAAATAGGCCTGAGCCTTATTTTAATTTTTTTTTTTTTTGAAAAATAACACTAGGGCTTAACTTGGGGAATATATTTAATTTTCATGTATTAAAAACAAAATGACAAAGTAGAGAATTACGAGATTTTCAAATATATAAATTTGATACAAATTTCGCGCTACTGACTAGGTCTTATTCTGAGGGAAGGGCTTATATTAAAATCATTTTTAAGATTCAGGCTAGGTCTTATTGTCGGGGAAACACGGTATAGGCTTTCGGCCGTAGTTGCAAGTTAACTCACGTTTTGGGGCTTGGCAGATATATTCATGATTAGCTGTGCACAACACTCCTTCCCACTTTGAATATTCCGGTGTAGACTGGTCAGTCAATGCTCCACAATATCCTGAACCAGACGACCCCGGATCGTCAGAATAGATTTCGCCTAGAACGGAAGGACCTGAAAAGCAAATGTAATTATGAGATAAGACAACTTTTTGACAAGGAGTATAGAATTTTGATCCTTTGCTAAATTGTAGTTGCTGTTCCTGCTGGGGCACACATTGTTGTTGGGGTTTTGAAAATCGATTTTTCTTCAACTGCTGATGAATCAATCAATTTAAAGTTTGCATCACTTTAAGCTAGATAAAGTGTCGAGGGGACTATGACTTTTATTGTTTTCAAAATTCACCTGGGTCCTATATTATATATAAGTATAACCATTTGGCATTGTAAGGCTAAGTGGGTACAATACAAACGCTCATTATAGTTAGAGCACTGGCCTAAACTGTATTGGCACTGCAGGTTACACATGTAACCCTGGGCTAGGGCTACTCAACAATTTTTACCGAAGATCCGCATACAAAACTTCAAAAATATTTGGGTCCGGTTTTTCCAGAAATTATATTTCGACATCCTCAAACACGCACTTCCTCGACCGACGACTAATGATTATTAGCTAATCAAGATCGTCTATTATGGCGTTATAGTTCGTTTCATATATATTTTAATCTATAAAAAAGATTTTATAAAAGAAAACTTCAAAAGTGGGGCTAATGATCCAAAATAAAAAATTAGGCGCGATCCGAATCGAATACCCGAAAGGTCCGGATTCGGACCCGCGGTCCGCCAGTTGAGTATCCCTGCCCTAGCCTATCATCTCACCCAAAGCGTAATGGTTATGGTTGAGCACTGACAATCCAGTTCTTTCAAAAATACTAGCTTATATCAGTGGCAGCTTGTACAGGAGGAAGAAATGTAAATAATTTTGACACTCACTAACAGTCGATCCGTCTGACCAAATCCAATTTCCATTTGGTTTTGAAACCATATCGATCCAGATTCGTTTTGTATTGATTTTGATTTTCCTCGCTAATGAACGAAGAGATGCGACGTCGTGAAATCTAGCCAGGTATCCTTTGAAACTTTTCCTGCACTCTTGACGAGCCGTAAGGGGGTTTGTCTTTGAATTCACAATGACGAAGCAGTATTCGCTATCGGGGACCTAGAAATTATAAAAGAAGAATTTAAAAATAACGTCAAGTGTTACTGTTAATGCTAGTTGATTGGAAACGGTCGTTTAATCGGAATTCATCTGGAACGACACTATTAGTACTAATACACAGCGGCTCCCAGTTCAAAATGTCTACAACAGTTGTTCTTAAACTCCCATAATCATCGCCTCCCTTCCTCAATTCTCTCAACTTGTGAGCCTCCTGCTCTTCTATGAAAAATATTTGGTTCTGCTTTCAATGTGTTCGAGTCAGTTATTTTAATTAACCACTTGTAAAATAGAAAATCCAACAAGCGAATATAAGAGAAGAGATGCATTACAGTCGAATAATAAAACAGAAGATTCTAACTTATGGTAATCATCGCGAATGACACCCCGAGACAAGGTAAAGGTTTGATCGAGGCCATGCGTAGCGGATTCCTACGTGGCTCCTGATGCAAGATCCCGGTTTGAGAAACCTGATTTGCACTATATGTGGACGATAGGGGATTTAAACCTGAGGACGATATTGGATTCAAATATAAGGTGTATATATAATTGTTGACTACGACGTTATAAGAAAGTGCATTAGATTCGGGGCGTTCATACAAAAATATAATTGAATGAAAAAAAATGCCTTTATGGACGTCTCCATCTTTGACGGGCAAAAATTTGAAATAGATTAGCATATTGGTTGTGGATATAAAACGCTTTTTTACAACAACAACAACAAAAATAGCAACACTTTTGCGAACCGAATCATAGGTCCATTTTGTGTCCGAAAAAAAGAACTTTGGTACCCCCGTAGTGTGTGTACCAGGTTGGGGTTAGGCCATAATTTTTTTCCGATTCTCCTAATTTTAGTTTTATTACGAGTGCGGGGGCTGTCCGTGTTAGCCAAATAAATGTACCTCGGCCCATAGGTTTCAGTTTTTTTACACAACTTGATGTGAAGTAGACGAACAAAATTAGTTACCACCATATTGGTACACATACTTCTGGAGCGCCAGAATTTTACATAATGGATAAGTCTGACTCAACGTCTGTGACACATGTTATCAGGTGGTGGCGTGACCTCTTAATAACGACACAGGAAATGAATTCGTCGGTGTCATCCAGACTCAGTTTGAACACGTGTCTTCATTGACTCGTTTATTGGCGATGAATTTGTTTTGGTTTGCATTTGCGAATCATACTCGCAATTCACTGTTAATCAGGCCTGCTCCTGTTTTTACAATTGATAAGAATTGGGCCCGACGACATAACAGGTTCCGTTTGTGCACGGAATACACGAGCCAATAAGTTATTTTTCCAAAAACTTCGGTTATGCAGTATTCACGGCCTTTTAGATATTCTAATAGCGTTAATCGGCTTATACTAACACGTAAAGCGCGACCATTATGGTAGCTCTTTGGCCTCCATAATTTCGCCCGGAATAAATCACTTTTAATTCGGAACGAGTGACCTTGTATTCTTAAATTAAAGAGGGGTAAGATTTCTAGTCTTATGATCCCTTCATTTGCATTTGCCCTCCATCGTTCCAGCCTGTACCAGTGTACTGGAATTTTCCGTTGTTCGGCAATAAATTACACGAGTATTTATTGCTACAATGAGCGCCTAGTGGCAGAAGCTTTAGACTGAACCATGATTGCACCGCAGGTTATAATCCCGGGTCAAATACAATGTTCACCACTTCCCCGGAGTACCAAGCAGTAGCTGCTTCTGCAGAGTCTTGTTGGGAGCGAGAGACGTAAAAAATAAATAACCCTAAATAACAAAAAATGCCAGGTACAGGCAAAAAAGTCGAAGATGCGTTGACCTCTGACCTCGCAATTCAAGCATGAATTTAAAAATGGTAATTTGTCGCACATACATGTCTTGGCGAAATATATTTCAAACTTGGCATTTCCTCTATGAAGTTAATAACAACGTTGAATACGCTGAGGGCAAAGATGTTCGAATACCAAAATAGTGCCGAGAATGAATTTCGAATTCTGTCGCAATCCTTACATTATTTGGATATTCAAATCTCTCTCATACATTTACTTACACTTATCATAGTCCAATCAGGAGGAAGTGACGTCACAGGACATTTCGAGGTTTCACAGGATGCTAAGCAGGTGATAAGAAGTAGCGTAATCCAATGATGATCCATGTTGGTCATGGGATTTCAATACAACCAGTATTTCGATAAATGTTAAATTCGATGCTAAGATATATATAGATGGACCAATAGAAAAAGAACGGATTGGCCTAAAAAAGTAAATTAAATTATTAGTAATTATTTAACTACGGACCTGCTTTTGGACTACCTTGTATGTTTATTTTTGTATAAAAAAAAAGTCTTGTTTCAAGCGAAGGTCAAAAGTACTCCGTGTGAACAGATCTACAACGTTCATGAAAATCCTATTGTTGACCTTTACGACAATCAAACAACGACAGTGGGAGTTAATTTCAAATTAAAGAATAAATTAGAGTTTCTGAATTACCAAATCAATTACAAAAATAAAGCGGCAAACATGGGGCACTCCGGTATTCTAGATCCATCTCATAGCGAACCCGAAATCTCAGCCCGATAAATACACAACCATTAAGACATTAACCAGTTCGAATGTCAGACTCGATGCTCGTATACATATTGATAGGGGAACGGTTGAAAAAGCTTGGTAATCAAAATTGGAATTAAGGTTATTCCAAAAAACGACATATTAATTGTCCCAAAGTGGGTGCTAGATATTAATATTAAATTATTTTAAATAAGTGTATTTGTTTAATTTTGTTTTACCCAAAAACTACAAATTAAAATCATCGCAGTGGCGGCTTATCCAAAGCTTTGTTCGAGGCAAAGTTGAAATACTCTGAGAGACTTGAAAAAAACACCCACGCCACGTTTTAAAATAACAAATTAGTGATCATCCAGTTGGGGTTAAAATAATTTGAAAATTTGAATTACCAGCACAATCTGCATTCCTAATCCTTAATCCAACATCGATACTCGTTCTTTTATTTCATTTCATGATGTTTTTTTTTGGGGGGGGGGGGGGGGGGGGGGGATTGGGGTGAAGTTATCGGATGTCGTCCGTCATATTATTAGGTTTCCTCGTCGGCCTACTGTAGGTAAAATTAAATTCAAGTGCGATAGTTTACGCACAGTGTTGAGCTAAGAAGATTTATGTCTAGCCTAGACCGATATCGACTGCGTAGCAACAACAAATTCCAATACAGCTCGTTTAAAATTGAAGAATACCGATATCTTTTATGCGAACTTCATAAGGATTCGTTTTTGCTATCCGCCAAAGCTGAAATTGAAGCATTCTAGTACAAAACTGTATTGGAATTTCATTAATTAGGGTGTCACTAATAATATCCCACTCGGTTTTTATCATAATTACCACGTAGTGGAGAAAAGTTGGCGAGACGATCTAAAGGGGGCTTTTCTGAGCAGTACTTTACCAAACGTTTGAGCTCACTTTACTTTCTGTATACAGAACGAATATATAAATTCTATCCTATGCTGTACTACGAATCTCTTGCTAATAGTTGTCAGGCTTGCTAATACTACAACAGCCGCACAAATTATGAAATCCTGTGACTGAATATCCGTCACTCTCGCGACATGGCAAATTTTGTCCACGATAACTGAAATTTGTGAGATAGGCCATACAGAGCCACTGGGTAGGTTAGCATTGCGTTTATATTATCACGCATGGGCGGGTGGTAACAGTTAGGTCATAATGCATCCTTGTTCCATCACACATCCGTATTTATGATGCAACAATTCTTTATATGTTAGTCATTGTAAAATTACGTTCGAGGAATGGTGCTTATTCATCAATTGCTAATATGATAAATAATTTGTTCTTAAAATGCATTCATTGTAGTTATGCATTCTTCTTGTTATTTAACGGTGGTCATAACTGGCGTAGTTTTATACGCCTGTACTAAGATTTATCGCTGTTCAAATGCCACGTGGTTTTGTGACAAAAGTCATAATTCTGGAATTTGTTAACGAATTGGCAATATTTTTATGCGATGCTTTTGTACGCCTCACGCTCCGGTTTATAGGGTCCTTTCATCTACATCAATGCATTCATCATTATTTGGATAAATATTTAAAATTTCCAGCTTTATCAAGCATCAAGGGGGTGGGGGGCTGGAAAAGGTCCAGGCCGCCCTTGCAGGCAGCCTCGATTTGTAGGAAGCTACTAATGTTGAGAGGACTGGATTAATTCTAATTCGGCATCGTCTATTCAATTTATTATATCCCGACCCCCCCCCCACTGATGAGAATAGCAAACATTTTACCCATTCTCGGATTTGTTAGCTAATTGGTCAAATCGTAACACTCCGTTGCTCAATTATTGCAGCGATAAAACTTACTTGATTATACATAGAGATGGCTCTCTACTAGATGCCCACGAAATTCGTGATGTCTATGGATCGCGAATGTTTTGGGTTGCACTTAACTAAACTGGGAAACGAACAATCCATACTATCAGCTTTCCTTTCCATACAGATGCACAAAAAAATATATTACAGGATTTCAAAATAAACTTACTATCTACAAAATAAAGCACAAAACATGCTCAATTATAAAACAATAACTATTCCAAAATAGTACCATTTATTGCTAATACAGTAAAATCTCCATATTTTTCACAAAAGTTGCCATGAAACTAATACAAACCTACACAGTGAAAAAATTACAAAAATTGATATGCAATTAAAGGAGAAGAAACAATCTAAGCCAGTGGTTCTCAAACGGTGGGGCGTGCCCCACAAAAGGGCATAGACAAATTTTTTGAGGGGGCGTGAAGCTCATAAAAAGTAAAACTATTCGGTAGATTTGATCTTGTCTGCCTTATTTTGGATATTTACTTTCCATTCACTTATTTTCAATTTGTTTTTGAATAGAAGATACTTTCGCCTCACTATCTGTAACATGTTAAATGCAAGACTTGGTGGGCACATGTGTTTAGAGTATCTGAAAGGAAGCGACGAATTATCATTAAGTTTGAGAACCACTGGTCTAGTCCAATCCTTCGTTATTTTTGACAATGTTGCCTTATTACTAAGAAAACATGCTAGTTTAATATTTTTACAGATTGAAGATTCGTTGCAACAGTGTAAAATATAAAACAGTCGAAACAATATATATATAACCAATATAGTCAGAAATTTATTGTCAGATACTTAGAATATGAAGAATGTTATATTAGGGGATACAAAACCAGCTGATATTCCTTTACTCTTGAAATTATGCGTGTTGCATTAGGCTATAAATTTTTTTTTTGTACAATGCTTATTCACGCTTTCAGTCCTGTACAGATATCTGAAAATATGCAAGGTGCTACTATTTAATAAAACGGAAAATATTACAATATTAATTATTAAGAAATAATTTTCGATTAGAAATTCTAACAAAAGTCATTTTCCTAAATTATCTGGATATCTACCAAGGAAAAATTAATCATTTCAACTTAAATAAATATATGACAATAAATTTCCAACTCAAATACAGGAAGATGAGAAAGTAATTATAAAACTATTCAGTTTGTTTTATCAGTCTGTTGTGAGGCCGGTTTCGATGCATCTGATCCTCCAGACAGAGGGGGAGCTTTATCAAATAATTCAGCTCGTTGTTTGACGACTTCTCGGATGATCACTGAAAGAACAAAAGACGTAGGTTAATTTTTTAAATATACAAAGCTTATTCACTGTGAACAAGGCCGGCTGTAAGCCTTCTGATTTGGCATTATCTATCACAGTAGTTCCCGACCTTTCATGGCTCGTGGCACTGGCTCGTGGCACTTTTTCAGGGCCTTTTAGCACTTATAGCCCGCTGTTTATTATTCTAGTGGTATTTATAGTATTATTTTGATAAATTAATTTGTGAAATTTTTATAAAAGAGCTACGATGAGAGTTCCCCGAAGGGACCCACAGGTTGTGAAAGTTTTAGCAGAGTCCAAAAATTAATTCCACTACCCAGTAAAACACTTGTTAACGTCTCCTAAAAAACACTTACTGTCAAGCATGGTTCTTCCAACGACAGTCTCATCGACTCTCTTCACAACTTCATCCATAATCCAAGGCATGAATCCTTGCTCTACGTCTGAAAAATAAAGTAAAACATTTATAAAAAAATAAAATTTTTGGGCAAAAAAACAACAATTTGTGACCTAGGTATATGTGAATGACAAAAAATATTTTTTTCGGTACTCCCGTAGTATGTGTACTTATTCCGATTTTCCTTATTTTAGTTCAATTACGAGTTCAGGGACTGTCAGTGTTATCCAAGTGACCCCTGCCCATAGGTTTCATTCCCTTTACACAACTTGATATGAAATAGGCAAACGAAATTAGTTACCTCCATATTGATACACATACTTTTATGCTCTTAAAAAAGGTTTGAACAACGATTGATATCTAGAGAGTTACCATGTTATTGGGAGCACCAGAACATTCCCAAATGGCAATGCCTTCTCATTTAAACAAATATTTTTGAATCAGACAAAAACCATGGCAATTTCAATGTACCAATCTATTAATTTAATTTTGACAAGGTCCTGTATAAGCAGTCACTATAATGAGCTATAAAAAATGAGCTTTTATAAAAAAGTTACCTCTCTCTACAGGGTCGTAGAAATAGCCGTTATCTCTCAATGTGCTGAACACGGATGGTACGAGATCTGCAAGGTAGCTCTGAGCAAATGCACGGGCCGCAATCTTTTCTGCGGTTTCTCTTTCTTTTTTCAAAACTTCACGTTGTTGTTTCATTCGTCTTTCCTAGGAAATCAAAGATATGAAATTCATTATGAGGCGCAAGCAGAACTATGGATTGGGAATCATTATGGTTTTGTTGTATTGTTATTGTTGTAAAAAGGGAATTTTTCATTCAACTAAAGGACCAATCGGGTACAAGTTTCTAGTACTTACACTACACCAATAAAGCAAAATCGCACTACTGAATGCTCGTCAAGCAAAATTTCATCCCAGTGTGATATAGCACAATGTTGAAAGCGCCGTTGTAAATGAGAAAAAGTGATAGGCAAGTCAATGAGTTCCACTGCTAATTCCATGGTCTGTGTGTTGCACACCTCTGCTCTGAACACTATCCATTGCAGCCACAAAATTAAATTTGATATATTTAAAAAAAAAGCAAAACCGCCACAAACCTTTTCTTCGCTGTGCCTTCTCTCTTGTTCTTCCAGTCTTTGCATTTCCACCAATTCAGCATTTCTTAATTCTTCGAATTCTCTCTGTTGTTGGCGTAAGTTGGCGAGCTCTTCTTCCTCCATGACTTCCAGCAAAGCTTGTTCCATGGTTTTGCCAACGAGAACTTCAAGTATTGGCTTAACTTCAATGTCAAAGTCAAACAGCTGGAAAAAGTAAAAAATATTTCAGTAAAGCAACTCACATGTAACAAAAGTATTGACAATTTTACATTTAGTTTCCATGCTTTCTAGTCATTAAAGACAGCACATACAGTCTTATTAATATGCCGTTGTATTTACTGGTGTATATTAATAAGCCATCTCGGCGGTGTGGCTTCGTGCTAAACGTTGGGAATATGCTCGCCACCGCACCCCTGATTACCCTGCGTGGGTTTGCAGGTTCGAATAAATGCGGGGACAGTTATGTGTGAGAGGATTGCTGGACTCCTAGCCGCCATAGGGTGGTTTGCGTAACCGGTTGTCGGTAACGGCTTCTGAAAACAAATAACTGGCCAACTAATCCCATACCAGACATGGACTGTTGACCAGACGAGATGCCGTGAATCGCCATATGATTTAGCCATCTTATCCTCTCCCCTGGGATAAATATGTAAATCCCACCCTATCTTATTATGTATAGTTTCAGTAGCACTTGGCTTTTGGGTGGTCACCCATATCTTTACTCATATTAATAACTCCTTTACTTCTGAATAAGTGCATGTAATCCACCACCACAATTCTTTATAGTCTTAGTCTATCTTGAAATTTAAGTTGCCGTTAATAAAGTTGTTCAGAGATGAGTCTCATTTACTTCATAATCGGTGTACCACCATAATTATGTGGCCGTCAAACTTTGTCAAATTTCATTAATGCTGTATTGCTTCTTTGGACAGTTACAAAATTAGCCAAGTCAGTACTTTAATAGGTAAACGAAAGCCCCTAGGTTTCTTTAACGGATCCCTGGGGATTCTTATGAACGTTATGACGTTGCTTTCAGAATATTTCATAACCCAGGACACTAAAATATGCTCGCTATAGTGATACTTACATCTCCTTCAAGGATCTGTGTCGCCACATCTTTCCCAGTTTTAGCAGGAACAAATAGTGGAGAAGGGGGTCGATCTAAGAACGCATCTGTCTGTGTGTCAATGTCAGCCTCTTCTATCCTGTAACAATGAAAGATAAATTCTGAGAAAACCTTTTCATTAATAAAGCTGAAGGTCATTTTCATGGAAAAATATTCATAGGTAATTTCATAAAAATAAAAGCTCATTAAATCTTTAATTTTCAGATCTTATAAGAACCGGAAAATGATAGCAGTGACGGGACAATTGACTATGGCGCTGCTGTAACTGGGCCAAGTTCCGCTACTAAATTTATTTGGCCTGAGAACTGTGTCCATCGGTCTAAGGTGATGTTTACGGGATCGCCTGGTCTACAATAAACATTGATAATCTATTGTAAAATTTGGTGTTAATTAGTGCACAATGTTTTAGATGCCTTTTTATGACATAAATGATGCCAAACACCCAAAAAGCTATGATTTTTTGGACTGGGAAGGTACTTTTTGTAAAATTTAATTGTCGCTGGGGGAATGTTTTTCAAAAATATATTTAATGGTAGGGGTTTAATCTTTTATATTCAGACATTATAAGAACCAACTTACACAAAGTCACTAAATCCCACCATTGGTAACAGTGCATAACAAAAAAATACCTGTCGCTTAGTTCTTCCAGATACAATTCAGTTTGCACTTCGATATGTTTTCGACCATCGACAGGCTCAGGTGATCGAGGACGCAGTTGATCCTTTGCTCGCTTCTTTGCAATTGCTCGACGACGAATCTCTTGCTGCCGTTGGATTTCTATCGGGTCAGGTTGCGCTGACTGCAAGTAGAATTTGGCATTTATGTGTATATTATCCAATTTAGCCATATAAAGATGCATATTATCAATATCATTTTCATTATAATGTAAATTATAATAATAATAAGATGGGAGCGATATTTGCTTGGTCTAATGCTGACATGGGCAAACTACAACCTGCGGGACGAATTTGTTGAGATTGCAATTAAATTTAGTTTTGGCACGAGGCTTATTGTTATCCACTTTTTCTTTTGCAACTGTATTGTTCATAAAATGAAACTACTTACGGTAATTCACACTTACATGGCCCGCCAAGCTAGACTGGCAAAATTTTTGGGCCATGGTCCAAAAAACTTTCCCTCCCCTGGTTTGACAGCTGTTATATAAATTTAAGTGACAATTCCAAGATTTGGTAACCTTTACTCAACAAATTGTAAATGCCTGCATGTATATCAATGAAATTAGCAATGTGCATACAAAACAAATCAAAATTTGGAACTTACGGCAGGCAATGTGTGTTGTGCATAAGTGTTCCCTCTCACAATTCTTCTATCATACATAATGTTCCCATATGGAGCAGAGCCTTCATTTCTAAAAAATTGAAACCACTAGGTTAAGGACAAAATAAGTGAACTTAGCTCATGATTGGATTAGAATAATATGCCATGATTTTGTCGTGACGGACTTCATTTAAAAGACGATAATAGAAATTTAATAGTAATCCTAAGGTAAAGAAAAACGGGTAGTACGGCAAGCTCAATGGTATGAAGATATCAATACTTTTCATGGGCCTTTCATGGAATATTGTTATGCATTCTAGCAAGGACTATAGTAGGGCACAATTCTATGATTCCCAGATGTTCGGTATTAAGATCAATGAAACAAGCACTATTAGTTTTTGAAACAAAGGTGCCTGGCAAGGCGGCATCTTCGTTGCTGACTGTCATTCGCTAAAAGCTCTTGAATGCTACAGTAAAATTCTTTTTCTATCAGAAATCAGGAATCCAATGATGACGCTTTAAGATTGAGCTTTTTTTAAATTTTTGCGCAATATCAGTTTGGAATTTTGTGGGGTTACGGAGGTGCCAAACTGATAAGATAGAAATATAATAAGTGACATATTCATAAAAAAGTTAGCCAAAAGATAACTTACTGTTCATTGACAAACTGCCTGTATTTCCTTCTTCCCTGAACAGCATGTGGTTTGCTTTGAAACGTATAAGTTCCCTGGTCGGGCTGCTGAGGTATTACTGCAGTCATTTTTATGAAAATTGTAACAAAACTAAAAACTAAGAAAATATTGGAATATTAATAGTTATATTTTTGCCACAAGTAGATGAATAACAACTAAACAAATTCGGGTCTGGTATAGTTTAGTACCACATGTACTTCTGGTTGGCCTGGCTCGACAATTTTTGCATATGTCATTCCTAACCCCTACTAGTTTGAAGTCACCAAAAAATTATGTCATTGCGACTTCACAGTGGCGTAATAAGGCCCACCAAAATATGCGGATAGTCGTCCGAAACACATAGACTATCATCCGAAACCGAGCAAGCTATTTCTCTTGTTTTCTCGTATCGATCATGAGACATCGTCGGCGTTAGCGAGTTCGTTATCGGCGGCGCAGATAGCATTTTGGGCAATCGTAATATACTTTGCAAGCTCTATGACGCGATGGTGACGTCGCAGTGATGTAATTGTTGGATGGCATAGTCAGGTGGGGGTTAGGAATACCATATGCAAAGTTCGTTATGCTGCGCCCACTGGAAGTACTTGTGGTACTAAACTATCCTAGACCAACAAATTCTTTAAAATGTAGGATACAGGAATAAGAGTGTCATTATTCTGGGCAAGCAAAATATGAGGATTGAAGATTATCAATAAGTTTTGAGTATGAAAATATTATGTAATTGGATAGATGAACTTGTATGATGGAGAGAGAGTAGCAACCCCAGGCAGGGTAATCAACAGTGCAATAACAAGAATAAGTATTATGTTACGGTAGTTAGTTTGGTAGTCTATGTTATATCGGGTGTGTGCTTGAAAAGTTGGCTGGACCTCATGCAAAGTAGTTTTACAACAGGATATAAGTATTATGAATATGTCTGTATGTGCAAGAAAACTGATGAACCCATCACATTCCATGCCCCTGAAACAAACGATTATTTCCATACCCGAAATGGACCGGTACCACTATTCAAACGAATATAACAACCGTACATCATTGAGAGGTTTTGTGGGTTATCCCTTTACAGTCCATCTAGGAAAATATGAATATCCTATCATGATAAGGTGTAATAGTATGTTGACGTAAGTATTTTTTTTACCACAGTTACATATCAACTGATAACTGCTTTTTAGGATGATACAGCTATATACATCTTTATGCTTAGCACAGTTGCAGGGGATTCTTTCGAAACCCTTTGCATTATCAGTTTTTTTTCCACATGGCTTTCAAAACTTTTAGCCCATTGAGATTGAACATAGTCAGATAGTGATGTCAAGTCCATGCATCTGAAAACAAATAACTGCCTAACTAATTCCATACCTGACATGGACTGGTAACCAGACGAGAGAATGTGGTTCGCCATATGGTTAAACCCTGTTATCCGATTTCCTCTCCCCTGAGATAAATATGTAAATCATATCCTACTGCTGTACTGGTATGGAACTGTTCAATGCTGAAATATATTCTAAAATACTATTAAATACCGAAAAACCCAGGGAGCCTGGAATCAGTTTCATTTGGACTCTGTAACCAGTCCACGGGTCTAGTATAGTCTAGTACCACAAGTACTTTCGGTGGGTGTAGCATAAAGAAATTTGCATGTGTTATTCCTAACCCCTACCTGACTATGTCATTCAAAAATTATGTCACTTTGACGTCACATTCACGTCATAGAGCTTGCTAAAGTATAGCTTCGATCGCCCGAAAGGACATATGCGCCAATGATAATGAACTCACTAACGCCAGCGGTCTCTCTCACATCGCGATTGTGGGGCGAGAAAACGAGAGAAATAGCTTGCCCGATTTCTAATGATCGTCTGCGCATTTTGGACGACCATCCTTACCCTTTGGAGATCTTTATTACGCCACTGTGACGTCGTAATGACATACTTTTTTGGTGATGTAGTCAGGTGGGGGTTAGAAATGACATATGCAAAAATTATTGAGCATGGCCAACTAGAAGTGCATGTGATACTAAACTATACCAGACCCCAGTCCACAGATAAAAAAAATAGAAACGTGTTTATTTGAACAGAATTTTACCTAACGAAAGTAAAGCTAAATCGAAATATATTTGAAAGGCGATGCACTTTCAGACTTTGTATTAGACTACAGATAGCGGTTCGAGGTACGATAGGGTGGCTTGGCCACTTTGCGGCCACGACCTATTCACGGCCATCAACTTCATCAATTAAATTAATGCAGAAAAATTTAACGAACCGCGACGATATTTCCCACGCGTTATTGTCCACTAATCCTCCGTAGCTCTGCAAAATTACACTAAAATGAGGCCACAAGCAAAAAAGTTAAGACCGAATAGCAGATCGAAGAAAAAAAACGGACCATTTTTTCATGTCGCCAACTACCCATTGTCCCTTAAATAAAATTTGAAAACTCATACAAATATAAGAGATAAAGAGATGAAACTTGGCAGTTGGGTAGAGTTGTGTTTCTTTTACCCATCTTCAAAGTTTTGCGTTTCTACATTTAGAGGAGGGGAATGGGGGGGTGCGCATTTCCACTACGCCGATAATATCTTTGTCGACCAATTTGCGGCCACTGTGTTTTTGTCTGTTTGATTGCTGTGCTGCGGGGCTTTGTTTATGATTTGACGAGTTTTGTTCGAAATAACCATGTTCTTAAAATATATGACGGTCAGAAATGCAATTTGAAGCCCAATGTTTTCACACATGGCTGCGTATGCTATAGTCTCAACGCAGCAGGAACGATGTTCAAGGCTGTCGTTCGGTCGCAAATACGTCTCTCGAGTGTCGTACTTTGGGGGTTTGTATAGCTTTAACCCCGGGTCGTAAAAAGTTAATTCGAGCCAATGCACCCACGATAAAAAAACTAACGGGTTGGAAATATTGGTTTTTGTTTTATAGCGGTTTGAATGAAATCACATCCACGTAAAATTATTGGATAAAAAATACGTTGAATCAGAGCAAAATGGACATACTTTGTCATTAATTTTAGGAGTGTTTTTACGTAGAATTAATGGATAAAAAATATGTCAATTCAGAGCAAAAATGGACGTTTGACTTTTAACCCCAAACGTTATTTCTATACTTCGTCACCAACTTTGAGAGTGTTTGTGCGACTTCAGATACTGGTACTGTTCAGTACATCCGTGTCAAATTATTGTATAAAAAATACACTGAATCAAAGCCGTAACTGGGGCTTCTTTTCGCCCATAATTCTTCTCACGAGATTCCTATCATGCAACACGAACACGATATGGTCTTTTTTGCTTCGCTTTTTTCGATCAGGCCAAATCTTGCAAGCTAGTATTATTCGACAATTGTGGAGTTATAATTTTTTGGCATCTTTATACAGGTATTACTGGATTATTGATTTAAAGACCATTTAAACCGATTTACATTGGTGAGCAATTGCAAATTTTCAGCGTGCAAAATTGAATTCGCTCGTGTGCATTTTTGCTGAGCGCTAGCGCCCTCAGACGTGAGCGACGTGAATCTGTCATGGAATCCAGTCTGGACAGTGACGTAATAGAGCCCTTCAAACTGTACGAACTGCCATCCAAGACGCACAAACGAGCACCCGAAATCGAACAGTTATTTCTCTCATTTTCTCGTCGCAAAGATTCCAATAGGAGAGAGATCGATACCGTCAGTCAGTTCTTTATCGTCGCATTTCGGGCGATCGTACGTATATTTGGCAAGCTCTATGACATGATTGTGATGTAATTATTGGATGGCGTAGTAAGATGGGAGTTAAGATTACCATATCAAAAATTGTTATGCTACGCCCACTAGAAGTACGTTAGGTACCGGTAGGAAACTACACGAGACCCCACCACCCTACCATACCGGTACTCAAATCCTGAATTCATCAATTTCCGTCATTCGACGTTTTGATAACTTCATTCATATTAGGGCTGTCAGACTGTAGGACCCTGTGTCCGTGTGTACGGTACCGGTACTGTAATCTCTTATCTAACCTTAGATCAGGGTCGTCCAACCCGTGGCACGCGGAAGCATTTCAAGTGGCCCGCGCTGTATTTTTCGGAAAAATTGTATTGTATTGCTGTATTATTTTTCGGAAAAATTGAGTATAACTATTATTCGAGTGATGTAGTATGCAAGGATACAAACGATTTGTTTATTTTCCTGAAATGCGCTTTGCCAGCCCTTTCAAACGAGCCATGAGTGCCATTTTGAATTGAAACCAACTGAGAGGAGATATCGATACATAAAGGCGCCGTAGTCGCTACGTACCGACATACAGACATACATAAAAATAACGGAAATAAAGGAGGCGTTTGCAAAAATAGGCATGTCAAGACAGACGATTCTCGTCATGTTGAAGAGCAAAAGCGGGAAAATTTTCATTGTATTCCTTGGATCTTGACGAAAGCACTGACATCAAGTCTACTGCTAATCATGCGGGGAGTTAATGATGATTTTAAAATCACCGAGAAGCTCTCAGCCATTGTCCCAATTAAGGGCACGACTCCAGGCATTGATTTGTTGGGAGCTGTGATAAAAATGATCAAGCGTCTTGGCTCGTCTTTGGCAAAACTTCGGGAATAACCACTGATGGCGGCCCATCAGGCGTTGGGAAACAACAGTTTTATTGTTCTAATAATTGTGAATGTTTGGCGTGAGGGTACCGGTATTGTTTGTTTTTTCATTAACCTGTAGTCAGTGTAGCAAAACTAAAACATAACTACCATGTTAAGTGGCCCGCGCACTTAATAGTAAACTAAGTGTGGCCCTTCGGTCAAAAGGTTGGACGACCCTGCCTTAGATAGATAGTTTTATTTCGAAAACTCCACAATCTGCAGATCTGACAATACAAACAAATAGAAAATTCCCTGTAGCAGTACTCTGGCTTATCTGATTCTGTAATCAGTTTCATTTATTTTGTTTCCGTCAATAATTTTGCTGATTATGGAGTCAAAATAAACCAATAATTACACCTCAATTAGCAACAAACCCTAATAAAACGCGACCCTCCCTAGACTTCTCGGAATCTCGAAACTAATGGTTACAAAACTAGTGAGTCGTGACCAAATGGAATATTCATCCGCGAATGAAACACAGAGTAATTCCCGAAA